ACCATGCCAGTTATCTGTTAATGAATGAATAGTCTGGCAACCTCAGGGTTCCATATTCTGAGTTTTTGCATTTTGTACATATTTTAAATTAGGAGTGTTTTAGTCCCAGTTGCCTAGCAATGTGGCAGTCAAATCACTTAGCCTTTCACTTTCCTCAGTTGTAGAAAGAAAAGATAGAAGTAAAGAAGATATTAGCTCCCTCTGCCTCTAAAACTTTAGTGATTCTCTGACTAAATTTATAAAATCAGTAACAACTCTATCAACTTTTGGGTTTCATTTTCATTAGTAAAATAGGGGTACTTGTATCTCACAGCAGTTTGATGATTAATTGAGATAATATGTGAAGACACTTCTGCTGATGCTTAACACATAGCAGCTATTTGATAAAAATTAGTTTCCCTTCTGGAACGTTAACCTGCAAAAGCCAGTCAAGCTGCCACTGACAAAAAATATCATCATCACTTCAAGAAACATCAAGTCCCTCTTATGTTCAGTCTTAGCTATTGTCCCTAACATCACATTCATTTTCAATTGACTAAATTTATTAAAAGGAATATACTCAAAATTAAAATGGATCTCCATCCTCATATTGTGTGCTGACAGCTCAGAGCCTGGAGCCTGCTTCAGATTCTGTGTCTCCCTCTCTCTTTGCCCCTCCCCTGATGACACTCGGTCTCTCTCTCTCTCAAAAATAAACATTAAAAAAATTATTTTTAATGGATCTCCATCACACCTAGTGATATGCTCTCCCTATGGAAACTCATTTTTTAAAGTACTATAGTAATTATATTATCAACGACCCTTCCTAAAATGGAATCTTAAATGGGCCAATCTAGTCAGTCCATATCGCAAATAAATTTTATATCATACAAAACGTCTGTAACAAACTCAACAGAAACATATACCACATAAGGTACGAAGTGTGGAATTGATTAGAGAGGGCTTTGAAAATGTAAATCATAGGTCCATTTGCTTCAGTATGAATAAGAAATGCTTGAGCCTGTCAACAAAATACAGGTTCCTGAGCCTCACCCCCATTTCCGATTCATTGGGTCTGGTGAGGGCCAGAGAATCTGCATTTTTAACACTTTCCAAGTGAGACTCATGCTGCTGGTCTAGAGACCACACGTTGAGAACCTCCAGGATGTATTAAAGACATAGATCTACAAGACCTGTGCCTTGCAGGTATGTGGAAGAAAAAGTTACAAAATACAAAATGGACCACAGAATAGAATGAGAAAAAACGATGAGACGAGAAACTTTGATTTTGTCAAGGTAGATGAAGATGGCATAGAGGTATGCCAACACTGCTCGATCAGAAGGGACAGTGACTAGAGGCCTGGTTCAGGGTCCTGGAGCTCCTGCTGGACTGGAGCTCAGGCCTCCCGCCGCAGGAGAGGCAACAGGCAGAGGCATCTTGGGATGGGGGGACTGGGACACTTGGGCGGCTCAGGGCAGTGCCCTGTTAGCAGTCAGTACAAAATCACTTGAATATTTTAATAACCAGAATGTCCATCTGGGAGTGTTCTGGCTGAAATCAGCTCTCCAAGAGAGGATCAGGAGGAACACAATGAATACCTAGGCACAGAGGGAAGCAGTAGCTAGTGCAGGGTATCAGAAAGCTGCCTGGGGTGTAGTTTAGCTTGAACTGGGGTTGTTCCTTAGGAATATGTTAGAAAAAAGGATCCATTTCCTAAAGGACTAAGGCATATAATGGAAAAAAACTCTAGCAGACCGGGTTTGAAGCAGAATAGAAATAAAAATAAATACGTCTCAGGTGCCAGCCTAGACAGAACCCATATCCAAGAGTTTTGTGTTTGTACCCTGACCTTACATTTATTTGTAATGCAAAACAAAACAAATAAAAACTTTACAGAACGTTTTGCTTAATGTCATCTTGTAGATGATTCACTATCAGGAACTGCAGCAATTTAGATACCTAGAATAGTTCTCCACAGGTTATAATAAGCAGGCTTCTCAAACTTTAAAACACATGTACACATGGATGTTGAAAAAAATGCAGATTATCATTCAGGAGGTCTGAGGTGAGGCCTGAGATTTTGCATCCCTAAAACATTTTCAGGAGGTATGAGTGCACTGGGTTCATGAACCACACTTCGAGAAATAAGAGTAAAGCTGTGGTTTTCAACCTAAGTTGCAAAATTTTTTTTAACGTTTATTTATTTTTGAGAGAGAGAGAGTGAGCAGGGGAGAGGCAGAGAGAGAGGGAGTTTATTTATTTTTGAGAGAGAGAGAGCGCGAGCAGGGGAGGGGCAGAGAGACAGAGGGAGACACAGAATCTGAAGTAGGTTCCAGGCTCTGAGCTGTCAGCACAGAGCCCGACAGGGGGCTTGAACCAATGAACTTCGAGATCATGACCTGAGCTGAAGTCTGCTGCTTAACCGACTGAGCCACCCAGGCACCCCAACCTAAGCTGCAGATTAAAAACATGTGGAGAAGGGCACCTGGGCGGCCCAGTTGGTTAAGTGTCCGACTTCAGCTCAGGTCATGATCTCACAGCTCGAGTTCAAGCCCCGCGTCTGGCTCTGTGCTGACAGCTCAGAGCCTGGCACTTGTTTCGGATTCTGTGTCTCCCTCGCTTTCTCTGCCCCTCCCCCCCCCAAAGACACAATAAATAAAGACATTAAAAAGGTAAATAAATAAAAACACGTGGAGAGCCCAGGCATTTTTCCAGACTAATTCAATTGGTACTCTGGCATCAGGAATTTTCAAAACTTCCCAGGTGATTTCTATGTTCAGTCAAGGTTAAGAATAACTGTCAAGTATAATGCTCCCTTCTGAAACCCTGGAATAGTTATGGAAGACATATCCATAGCCAAAGTGGAGAGCCTCCTAATGACAGGATCTCTAGTTTATCATCAATCCTAATCACAGTGTTAATAAGAAATTGAATCTATAATTTTAGCTTACTATTAATCTTTAATTTATTACAATCTTCTTTGTTGAAGCTTATTTAAATATTACAATGTTTAATATATGTTATCAAAACTGTGCTACAGGGGTGCCTGGGTGGCTCAGTTGGTTAAGCATCTGACTCTTGATTTCAGCTCAGGTCACGATCTCAGGGTTCTCACCCCGCGTGGGGTTCTGTGCTGACAGTGCGGAGCCTCCTTGGGATTCTCTCCCTCTGTCTCTCTGCCCCTCCCCCACTAGCTCGCGTGCGCTCTCTCTCTCTCTCTCTCTCTCAAAATAAAAACTTAAAAAAAAAACAAAAACAAACTGTGTTACAGATGCCAGTCCTTGCTACAGAACACTGAAATGACTTTGAAAATCTTCCTTGAGCTAGCTTAACAGATGCCACGTAAAATAAAATAAGCCAATGCTTCTCTAGTTTTAAAACAAGAGAGTGAAATGTTCTCTTATCAAAAATCTGAAGACTAGAGTTGAACATCCAGGTGACAAATCATAAAACAATGGTCTCCACAATGGGGTGTGTTCATCCTAGGATGTAAACAAGTTGATCCACTGGAGTATAGGAAGAAAACAGACTTCTATTATATTTTTAACTTAAAAAAAAAAAAAGTTTACTAGTGCCTTCCTTTGGGTGTCAGACGGTCATATGCTATATACATGCTGTGGGAAACATACGGTGAGAGAAGAGCAGCCAGTTCACTAAAGGCCGATAATGGGACCTCATTTAAATACTTGGCTGCACTCTCATTCTTCCAGCCATAGGTTGGATCAACCATCATCAGCTTCTTATTTACATCCAAGCAAATCTCCAACTAGTGTAGTCAATAGAACAAATGTTCATAGTCATCGGGTACAAAAGAACCCCACTGATTAGATCCTAGAAAGTAGTGAAGATGTGAAATTGAGGAAAAAATGGTAAAATGTTTATGGAGTCAACTTTTTTGGTTTTTTCATAGCAAAGCAGATCTCAAAAAAAGCAAATAACGTTCGCGCTATTTTATTAGGGTTAAATGTGAATAAACTTGCATGATAAGTACAAATAACTGAAAACAGCATTAAAATACCTTTTATAGTCCAATTTTTACTATTTAATATAAGCACGGCTGCAATTGTGAATATTTTGTGAGACTGGGCATCAGATGGCGCTCACCCTTACTAAAAACCTGAGCAGTGACAGAACATTAACAGGCATTTCGAAATTCAGCCCTGTTGCCAAGCACCGTTTTTGGGTCAAGTCACTTTTTCTGAGTCTCGGTTTCCTCACCTGCAAAGTGGGGGTGGGAACGGACCAGACGGATTTCCAACCCAGCTTGTCTTTGATTCTCTGTGTGGTGGTGGCGTTGACTGGCTTCTGCTACCAATGGCTGAAATAGAAAGAAATTCAGAAAAGACAGGTTGGGCAAGTGTGATAGAGGTAGACGGTGTTCGGCTCTGGTTCGAAGGCAGGACGCTTTCGGCGTTTAAGCCGCTCACTCTAGGTGGGCGGCGGAGCAGAAACTCAACCACGTGGTTTCTTCATTTCCCTGGGGGATCCCAACACGGGGTTATTTCCAGAAAAACCAATTTTCAAAGGACAGAAGCGCGGGTCCCACTAAAGTTCTGTGCAAGCACCCTCGGAATGCGGGAACACACCACAAACTCAATTCACGTCCTGATTCTAAGTGCACTCCACGAAAACCACAGCCGGGCGGACACAGATCCTGGAGGCGAGGCCCAGAAAGTCACGTGGGACCGCGCATTTACAGCCTAGCTGGTCGCTCGGGTGGACGCCGAGCGCCACCTCATGTAGGTTGTTCCATTCAAGCCAGGGTCGGAGCTTACCCTATCGCAGGAACTAGAACAGCCCAGCGGCGTCCTGGGTGATAACCTGAAGGCAAAGGAAATAGTTTACTGCATCTGCCGAGCTTCTTCGCTATATTTCAGTTGCTTTGAGGGACACCGTCCCTCGATTTCCTCTCGATGCCCGTTTCCCCTCCCGTAGGATTCCAGTTGGTATCGTCCGCGGTCCGCCCCCGCTCCGCCTCGCCCCCGCACGCCGTGGCCTGGGGCCCCTCACGTGACCCCGTCGCGATCTCGCGGGGGACCAGACTCTCCGAGGCGGTGCCGCAGGGGACAGAGGGACTGACGGAGCGGAGTTCGCAGCAGCTTTCGCCGGAACATCAGCGCGGAGGACGTGATGTCGGGGCTCTCCCGCCAGCTGCCGTGGGCCGCTGCCTGCCTGGCCGCGCTCTGTGTGCTGACCGCGGCTCAGGACGTCTCCCCGGACCCGAACGTGACTGCAGTTACGACTTTAGCGACCACCAAGTCAGTTCCGACGTCGGTGACGACTCTAACGCCGGTCACCATTCCAGCACAAGGTGGGGGCCGGCCCAACGGGCTTCCCGCACTGGCACGCCCGCCGAGCCGAGCCGTCTGTCCTGCCCGCGGTGCGCGCGGGGCCCGGGCGGGCCGCGCTCCAGCAACATGGCGGCCCGTCCGAGTCCAGCCGGGGCCCGGCTCGGGGTGGCGGGGGTGGGGGAGCGCCCCGGGGAGAAGGGGCGGTCGAGCCTCCGTGGCCTTTGCCACCCCGAGTGCCCCACGCCGACATGCTTTTAAAAAGTGCCTCGTAATCCCCAGTCTCACTTCACGCTCGGAAGAGGGGACGTGGCTTCCTCCCGCGGTGGCTGCAGTGGGGTTGATCATGGGGCGAGGCGACTCGCCTCCAAAGTTGTTGATGAAGTCGAACCCCCCTCTCTTTGGGGTTAGCCGTTTGCCCACCCAGGTCCTGCCTCCGAGAGGAGGCTTCTCCGGAAGTTGGCGAAAGAGGGAAAGAAACCGTAGACGTTAATGCTGCTAGTGTCTCCGACTTCGGTCTGAGAAAATAAGTTGCCTGGGATCTAACTATATTGATTCTGCGGATAGGTATGAGATATACTCGAGGGTTGGGCATTCGATTAATTAAAACTTTGCTATGTGCAAAGAAAAAAGTAACCATTCGTGTACTCAGTGCTTCACATATCCTTTTTGGTATTTAAGGCTAAACTAGAAGATAGGCAGTGAAATCTAGGAGGAAGATGGAGTTAAAGTAACTGCGAGAAGCGTAAATTTAGTTGATTGTGAAGCTGGGATTGGAACCCAGGTCTGTTGATTTTCCAAAACCCGATCAGGAACACACCCTTTGTTAAGCTCTGCAGTAGACTTGGGTACTGGTTGAGGCGTACATTGAATTGGCAATGTCTTTACAACACAAAAGAGAGGGGAAGATAAATTTAAGGTAGAAAGGTGAAGGAGCCCTAGATATTTAAAACCTGCAATTTAGTATAATTGGTGATTGTAGTTAATATTGAGTAAGGAGTAACTGGCATCTTGACCAAAGAATTGCCGTGGAGTGTCAGGATATTTACCGTGGTCCACCCCCCCCCCCCCCCCCCCCCCCCCCCCCCCCCCCCGCCCCATTCCCTCAGACTGATGATACTATTTTCCAGTGTCTTCCTTTGGTTTGTTTCATGAAAGTTTAATAAAATGTATAATTGTTTATAAATATGTAATAGTAAAATTAAAAAATTGTTAAATGAGGAAAGTAAATTGCAGTACGATACTGGACATTCTGACTGCACTGTTTTTAAGAGGATAGAGCACAATGTGTATTGTCTCCTGCTGATTTTGCAGTTTTTTCCCAGAATTGTAGTTTTGGAGTGTTGTGTGTATTTTTCCAAGAGAAGCTTGGAGATTCCCGTTAATTGCCTTTTTGTAATTGAAAGTTGTGCAAAGATGTTTTGTTTTCTGTAAATAGTAGTTGGATAAGCTTCAGTCTAAAATGAAAGGTAGCAAGTTTAGTTCATTGTAAATAACATTAATTATGCTATTCAAACATTAATTATCAGGAACAAAAGATTTTAGACAACTAGCTTTTTTTTTTTTTTTATCAGTATACAAACGTCTACAGAATTTATTTTCTATTTTGTGAACCCCTTATTCAGGGTATTATGTATGTCCCAGTCCCTGAGGAATACTAGTCATAAAATATTGAAATGCGTTGCCTCTATGCAGAACTGTTTTTTTTTAAGGCATGCGGAAAGCAAATATGAATGTTTTGGGGGGCATCAACCTTCCAGGAAAATGGATAGAGCCCTATTCTAAAGTCTTTTGGTCATTTGGTTTAAATTATTGACAAAAACCCTGCTAACTGGTTAAATTACGTGTACATGGATGTTGCTCCTTCCAGGTCTTGTTGTTTCTTACCCTCCATTCATGGAGGACCCTGGGAAGAGCAGACCGTTTATGAGTTCCGAATCTCTTGAGGTTTTCAGAATGGGCATCATCAGAGCTTGGGTTCAATCTGTAACAAATCTTTATTACTATTAAAAATTCCAGTGTCTCAGCTGATGTTTTAGGGCAGTGATTTCCCTGTGTGTGGCGTTGGCCTTATAACATAGACTTTTTTGCCAATATTTTTATTTTTTATGGATGTTTTAAAATGGCTCAAGAAACCCTGAGTGTCTGTGAAATAACGTTGTCTAGATAGCTACTGAGCCTTCTCACTAGCTTGTGGGGTTTTTTTCTTCCCTTTCTCTTGACTTTATTTCAGCTTCTTAAGTCGTTTATAATGATAGGAAATTTTTATTAGGCCAATTTATGAAGTGTTTTTGTGTGTGTGGTTAAAAAAAAACCCATCTAACATGAGGTCTACCAACCCAACAAATTTTTCAGTGTAAAGTACATTATTAACTGTAAACGCGACGTTATACAGAGGAGCTCTAGAACTTTTCATCCTACTTGAAACTATACCCTGCTTGACCAGCAAATCTCCATTTCCCCTCCCCGTAGCCATCATTCTACTTTCTGCTTCTGACTGTGACTGTTTTAGATACTTTATATAGGTGGAATCATGCAGTGTTTGTCCTTTTTTGAATGTCTAATTTCACATAATGCCCTTAAAGTTCATCCATGTTGTAGCATATGGCAAGGTTTCCTTTTTTTGTGGTTGAAAAATACTGCAAAATGAATACACTTTTTTAAATCCATTCATCTATCAATGGGCTATGTAACGTTTTACCACTTCTCTGAATTAGTAAGTTTAGTATCATATGTAATGCTCACATTTGTGTAAAAAAGGTAAGTGATACAAACTCAAAGTGAGTTATCAATTGATTGGTTTTATATTCCCCTCCCCACCAGATATCTGTGAAAACCGCAACAGCTGTGTTTCCTGTTTCAATTCTAGCCTTGATGCTACTGCCTGCTTTTGGATAGAATGTAAAGGTAAGAAAAGATTGCTTCAATTTTGAGACTGCAAACTGTTTTGTTTTAACCTTTTAAGGTATTCTACAGGGCATTCCTGAACATTTGAAAATTATGTAGAAAATTTGGTATAGTGTGTTACTATTTATTTTGCAAGTCAAATACTTTTTCGTTAAAGTGCCCGTTGCTTCACATTTCCCCCCAAAACTCTGGTCTCCCATTCTGTCCCCACACCTTTAATTCCTTAGAGGGATAATTAAGGTTCAGTAGTTTTTATTTTTTTAAGTTTATTTATTTTGAGAGAGAGAGAGAATGTGCGTGAGCACGTGAGCTGGGGAGGGGCTGAGAGAGAGAATCCCAAGCAGGCTCTGTGCTGTCATTGCGGAGCACAATATGGGGCTCAAACTAAAGGACCGTGAGATCATGACATGAGCCAAAGTTGAGTGCTATGCTTAACCTACTGAGCCACCCAGGTGCCCCAAGGGAAGAGAGATTTTAAAGATTTGGAAGATGGAATGGTACAGGTACACTGAAATTAGCAGTGAAAGAAAGTTGTAAAATTTTCCCCTGAAAATAGTTGTCTAGAAAAAGGAGGCATTTATCTTCTGTCACCTACTAGATGAACTATGGAGACCTTATAAAACTTTGTTGGATACTTAAATATGAAAGAAGAATGACATGGGAAGAGAGTAACCTTTAATTTGAGGGATAAAGAGCTACTTGAAGATACTTTGAAATGCCAGTAAGGTTTTTGTTAGGACTGCGGAATTATAGCATATTCTGTTTTTTTAATGGAAGGTAGTTGCATTTTTTTCTTATCCGTAAAACAGTGTATCTGGTTTATATGTATATAAAAGAAAAAGCTAACACTATATGTTAAGCTTCTTTGTGCGTTAAAAAAATGTAAGAATTGTGGATATATCACTACATAAAAAAGTTGAAAAACTTCTTTTAAAATTAAGGTATTAGCTTAGTTTGGGGTAAAGTTAATTTTTTGTTTAAGAGTCCCTTTTTTTAAAGTCATAAAATGGAATTTAAGAGCACACGCCTCTTCTTCTTGGGACTTGGCGTATTTTTGGGGGCTCCAATACCTTACTGTAGGATATGTTGGGGAAAGGTCTCCCTTACTCTTGTTGCAAGTCTGACCATCTAGGAAAGCAGTTTTAGAAAGTGTAGATGACCAAAGCAGAGATCTGGAACAGAGGTCCTGCTGCTGCTATGTGGGCACCTCCTGTGGTGACTAAGCCTTTATTAAAGATCTTGACTGTTTCTCCCTACTGACTCAGCCCTATTTGTAGATTCTAGCAACCTTCCCTGTATGGTAGTCATTGCCACAGTTCTGTGATCTGAGTGTTTTCCGATTTATCTGTTCAGTATATTTATGATGAGTTTAGAAGAATATTTGGAGGGATCCTATGTATTACTTCTTAAACAGTGGGGAAAAGAAAATGAAAGTTATTTTATCGGTCTGTGGACTTATAAAGTATTTATCCTTGAGTTTGATTTTTGGAAGCAATTCTGGAGCTTAGTAACAAAGTCAAAGATAATATAAGCAAGTGATTGGTGCTCTGTGTCTTTTCCTCCCCGTAACAGACAAAAGCTACTGTTCCCATAATTCAACAGCTAGTGATTGCCAGGTGTTGAATGGCACAAAATTCTGTTCTGGTAAGTATTCACATTGACTGCCGGGGAAAGTGGCCAGAGAGGTGAGGAAGATCTTTGCCTCAGGAAGCCTTAGTTCAGTATTTGGTTTGCCATTTCTATAATTCTAATCTTGTTAGAAATTTGGATATAAATAACATATTCATACTGATACAAAGGACAGTGTTTTGAATCTTAGTTTAGTGATTTGGCTGCACTGTGGAATGCTGCAGGTAGAGAGATACCTCCTCATTTACTTTTTTTCTTTTTTTTTTCTTAACTCTTCTGGAAACTCCCTGCATTTTAGACCTTCTCTTTATTTGCATTTTACAGGCCTAGACAACCTTGTTCTGGCACTTTTCTTGGTTGTGGTGCTGGTGATTGTCACATTCTCTAGCATAGTTTGTGTTAATGGTTGAATTTTTTCTGTATTCCTCTGTTTTCTCATTTTTTTTAAGTTTATTTATTTAGAGAGAGAGAGCAAGCAGGGTAGGGGGAGAGGGAGAGTGAGAAAGAGAATCCCAAGGAAACTCTGTGCTGTCAGCGTAGAACAGGGCTTGAACTCCCGAACTGTGAGAATGTGACCTGAGCTGAAACCAAGAGTCAGACGCTTAACCTACTAAGCCACCAGGCCACCCCTCTTTTTCTCATATTTGTACTTTAATTTGAGGAAATTGATTACTCTTTAACCATAACTCTTTGCTCAGGAAATAGTTTAAATTCCTAGATGAAACAACTGATTTTTTAAATAAGATTACAAATGGATAGGGAAGTCAATTTGTAATTTGGTGCATAGGTAATAATTAAATAGAGCAAAAGAGGTTTCTGGAGTGTGTCAGTAGCCTTGAATGACTACCTGTAACAATTTACTTTTAGTAGGCATTTTCCCATTGGAACTTGAACTTTGTGACTGAGAATTTCGTTAGTGTGAGGTCCATTATCCCTTATGTACAGTGAATATAGTATGGTTTAGGTGGTAAAAGAGCAAACAATTTTAGTATCTATTTTGATATATATTAGAAAACACTAATAACTATAATCAGACCTGTGATTTCATGATAATACTTTCTAGAAACAAGTATTTTTTTAAATGCTTGTTTATTTTGAGAGAGAGCGCACACGTGTGCATGCTGGTGGGGAGGGGGTGCATGGAGAAGAGGGAGAGAAGACCAAGCAGACTCCGAGCTGTCAGCGCTGAGCCTGACAAGGGGCTTAGTCCCATGAACTGTGAAATCATGACCTGATCCGAGATCAAGAGTCAGATGCTTAACTGAGCCACCCGGGTGCCCCAAGTAAAACATTTTAAAAGATAGTAATTTAGAGAAAAATCAAATAAGTAATTATACTTATTTGAAGATGTATCAGTTAGAATTAGTTTGGGCTATGAAAGATAGGAAAACCCAAATTAGAGTGGTTTAAGCAACAGACAGACTTCACTCTTATGTAAAGGAAGTCTGGGCTCAGGTGTAGCTAGAGGGCTAGAGTAGCAGCTCTACAACCATTAGGAACTCGGGCTCTTTACTGTCATTCCTCAAGAATATCTCTGACCTTACTCCAAGGTGAGTGCTCCCATTCCAGCCATCAATTAGTATTCCTGCCAGCGGGAAGAGGAAAGAGAGAGGCCCACACTTACCTTACAGATGCTTTCTAGAAGTTACACTTGACTACCTAGCTGCAGGGGAGGCTAAAAAAATGTCTGTCTTTCCTCAGGGGAAGGAAGTGTCAACCTTAGATTGGTGCTTCCATTTCTAAAGAAGGGGAGATGAGTATTCAGAGCAACTGTCAGTCTCCTCCGCAAGGTGGTACTTAAATGCCAAAATTATAAAAGTGGTATTTAAATGACTGCAATTTGGAAAATAGTATAATAGATTGTGATATTTGAGATTGCTTGGACTTAATGTTTGTTTCTTTTAAATAGAACCCGAGCCCACTCCGATGCCAACCAATTCTACAGGTAATACAAGATAATTGATTCTTTTCCTCTTCTTCAGGATTTGCAAGGCCTTCTGATGGATAATTTGTTAGCAATTAAGTACCTAAAAGTTTAGTATAATTTAAAAAACTAGTAGATGTATTTAGTTTTGGACCATAATTACATTAATATGAATTGTCTGTGACAGCGACACATAACTCCAGTGTTTCATATTCATTGTACATGGGAGGATTTGCTGTATCTTTGGACATTGAGTTCACACACTGCTTTTTGTGGATTTTGTGGAAATCTTGGGAAATACAGAAGCCTAAAGGAAATTAAAATTCCCTATAATTCCCATCATCCAGAGGTACCAAAATGTTTTCAGTGGTAAAGTTATTCCAGTCTCTTCTGTAGGTATATCTAAATAAATATACTTACTATGAAATTGGATGGTATGTTCATACATGTTTGAATTTGTTTTTCCTCTTACTTAAACATTGTTGTATGCGCTTTAACCATGCTGCACTTGGTTGGATAGTCATTCTCCATGCAGTGGAGAATATGTACTGTTAACTCTGATAGGATTGATTCAAGCAGCATTCCTAGGTCAGAGGATAGAATTATTTTAAGGCTTTAAGTACTGATTGCTTTCCAGAAAGATAGGCTTTTCAGCCTAAACAGCTGGAAAGTTTTTCACTACACCTTCTTTCTCCTTCTAAAAATCTTTACCAAAGTGATAGAAGGAGTAAATCATTAAAAAAAAAAGTCTACTCCAGGAAAGTACTAGCCTTAGATGATTGGGATTGAAGATAGAAGTAAGACAGCATTTTGTCTGCAGTAGGAACTACGAAAAGGGTAAGTAAGCCCAGTGTGTTGAGATGTTTGTAGGAAGGTGTGTATGTGGAATAACGGCGTATGTGGTGAAGGTGATGAGAAAGAGTGTAATGAGGTCAGGGAATTGCATTTGGAGTACACGGTGAGGAAAAATTGAGCTGGACAGTAACAGGTCAAGAGCCAGATTGGGAGGACAGATTGGAAGGAAGACAAGAGTGGACACATGGAGATTAGATAACCTGTAGTGGGAATTCTGGGGAACTACTAGGGGAAGAGTTGCAGGTGTATGCAAATAGACTTAGGAATTAGAAGTGATGGAACTTGATGGAGGTGATGGCACAGCTCTTTGCTAACAGTACAGATTAAGCTGATCAGTAGGCAGTAGTAGTGTCCACAGGAGCAGCTTGTAGAGAGGAGAATAGGGCTTAAGAACCAAACTCTATGGAACAGTAACACGTAAGAGTTGAGAAGAAGAGGACTGGAGAGGAAACTGAGTAGGGATGGGCAGAGAAGTGTGTCCAAGAAACTTTTATTTTCAGAGGAAAAAGTGGTCAGATGTTGTAGTAAGGGCCAGAACTCATTTTGAAAGACTTTGGCAGTGGTGAGCTAGCTAGTTACCAGGTTTTGCTTGCCAGTTGTGCATAGCTCTTCCCAGCTACACATTCAGTGATACCATGTTGGTGGCTTGAATTACAGTGGAAGTATTCATGCCATAGAGATCTGCAAATGCTACAGAACTTGCGGAGAGCACACAGTAGTAGCACCATTAGAAGTCACTGACTAGGAGGATGTTAAAGATTGATGAAAGCAGAGACGTTGAGGGAAAATTAGTTTCCTAAAGGTGGGATGTAAACCGGAAGCAGGAGCGGGGGAATCAATTTCTTTAAAACCATTGTGGGTTCACTTTTAATTTCTCCTCCATGGATCTTGATGTAGTTTTCATGCTTGTTCTGCACTGGGTTCTCCAGCGAACTACGATGGAGTCTTCCTTGTTTTGTCTCTTTGGGTTCTGTAAAGTGGAAAGAAGCCAGGGCTTGCTTATAGAAAATGCACCAATTGCATGGCAATTAGTGGTTGAAAAACAAACCTTTACATGGTCTCTTTTCATACCTACTGTGGAAAGAGAGCAAGTGAAAAATTAAGGGATTATTAAAGAAATGATTCAAAGGGAATCTGATTTACTTAGAAAGGTGTTCACTGGGGTTAATTATAATAGTCTTCTGTCATGACGTATATATATTATAAATAAATATGAATGTCAATAAATAATACCATAACAGAATGACTAAATTATGTTAGAAATGTGGTCGGAAATATTTGTAATATATTAAGTGGAAGACAAACTATTAAGTTTTAGCACATTTTTAAATTTTTTGTTACATACATGCCTAGAGAAGTGGCTGGCTGGAAGCAGCATGAGATTACTTAATTTACTGTATTTTCTATATTTCCATCACCAGTAGCAACTTTTGTAACTGCTGAATTATTTTTTTTAATGAAAGGAACTGTGGGTCAATAGAAGTATATTCCCTATTTCAGTCAAAAGTAAAAGTGTGTGAATGTTTTGCCTATTTATAAAAAAAGAATTAGTTTGTACCACGTTCAGAGGATTGTTCGTGAGAATCAGATAGAAAATGTGTAAAATTTCTTTCTCTACCATCCATTGTCAGACAAAATTTGTTGATAGTGTTGTTTTAAGATTGAAAGGAATATATGTCTAATTTGTAAAGTGTTAGTGTGTTACACAGAATGTATAAGCAACAGAAACTTTTAAAGGATTAAAAGTCTGAAAATAATCATACCCTTTAATCTAGGAATTCTGTATAAGAATCAGTCCTATCAGAGATGAGATCAAGTATTTCCCTGCAAGGTGTTTGTGGTACGGAGAAATGAGAGATGACCTAATTGTCTCTCCAAGAGCAGGGTAGGGAAAATGTATGCAGCAATGCTCATATTGAGAGAAAGGGATACAGACTTGTATGAGAATATCCTGTCAGTATTGTTAACATATCTTTTATTAGAATCTGTTAGTACTAACAGAGTACTATTAGTAATATTAGTACTAACAGAGGTCTGTTAACACATTGCTTTAGTTCCTAAAATGTGTTTACATTCAGGTTAATTCTCACAAGTGTTCATTTCTGTATAGGTATTTTCAGATAAAAAAATTATTGGAATTCATGTAGTATGGTAGACTAGAGCTACCTTTGGGCTCTTATAATTTAAATTGGGGGTCTTTGACTCCTGAGGACCTGTTCTTTTATAAATCGAATTTTATTGAAACAGAACCATGCCTGTTCAGATGCATGGTGTCCTGGGCTGCTTTTGCACTACACAGTGTACAAAGCTTAAAATATTTACTGTCCGCCTTTTTAAGAAAAGTTTACCATCCCCATGAAAGAAAGAAGTTAAGGCTATCTTGATACCTACTGGAGAAGTACTGAGTTGCACCTGTTTCTTACGATGACTTTTTAAGTTAATAGTTTTTGCCACAGAAGCAAGGTTATTTATCAAAACAAAACAAAACAAAACAAACCTATATAGTTCCCTTACTTAAACACTAATTCTTGCCCTTCTGTGCGTTTTTTTGCAAATTTTATCCAGCTGTGTAAATTCCATACTTAAACATGTACATAGATGTTAACATGGATACAATTTCGTGCTTGCTTGATGTTTTCAGAAGCATTTAAAAGCTAGTATTCTGGCTACGTAGATAAGTTAGTGAACCATTAACTGAAACTTGGCCTTTATTCTTTAAAAAATGGAAAGCATGTGAAATTGGTAGCATTGTTTTTAAAGACAAATTGTTAGATATTGGGAGGTTTGGAAATTTATGTTTTTAATAAGTTTTGTTTACATTCCAGCTAAAACCACAACTCTGCCTTCCACTTCTACAACTACCACCACAGTTACTACATCAGGTAATTGAGGGTTTTTTAAACTAACAGGTAGGATGTGTGTGCAACATTGCCTTGTACTGTTTCTGCCACCATTTTCCAGTTTTATTCATGAATGGTTGTGAGTAAAACTCATCTCTTACATTTTGGAGGACCAAGACAGTTGGCTGTTAGAGCAGTAATGGTAGGTTTGCTGAGAGTCCTTCTCATTTGTTAATATGTAACCGCATTTGGCATGACTTGTTAGAGTTAAATGTGGTAATGTTTCTCCAAAACCTTTTAGTACAACTTGTAGGCGAGATCTAATTTTTTATAACTTACAAATTAAATTACTAAACACTGATTAGTTGTGTGCTGTGTTAGATCATGGCAATTAGAGTGAAGATAATATAGCCATCTTTTTTTGAGGAAAGGTCTAAAAAGCCAAGCTAGCACTGCCAAATGTGTACCTCAGCCATATTTCTCACCATTTCTTTTTTTTTTTTTTTGGAGAGAGAGAGCGTGTGCCCATGGAGCGCACGTGGGGGAGGGGCAGAGGAGGAGAGAGAGAGAGAAAGAGAGAGAGACAGAGAGAATCTCAGGCAGGCTCCATCCCATGACGCTGTGATCATGACCTGAGCCAAAATCAAGAGTTGGATGCTCAACCAACTGAGCCATCCAGGCGCCCCCTCACCATTTCTTTACATTCCTTTATAATTCTTTTTTTTTTTTAAGATGAAATTTATTGTCAAATTGGTTTCCATACAACACCCAGTGCTCATCCCAAAAGGTGCCCTCCTCAATACCCATCACCCACCCCCCATTAACCCTCAGTTTGTTTTCCGTTTTTAAGAGTCTCATGCTTTGGCTCCCTCCCTCTCTAACCTCTTTTTTGTTTTTTTTCCTTCCCCTTCCCCATGGACTTCTGTTAAGTTTCTCAGGATCCACATAAGAGTGAAAACATATGGTATCTGTCTTTCTCTGTATGGCTTATTTCACTTAGCAT